GTTCATCAGGAATGTTAGATAATGAATTGCCATGTAGTGATTGGTCCTTCATCTACTATAAAGCATGAGACGCACGCTTTCAGGAGGTCAAATCTGTGACCTTAAGACGTTACCATTCATCACACAAATAGAAGGTTTATGGTTCATTCTCTAGCTTAAGCTCAGTTTCTTCCCCTCGTCTGCAAGTGGATGGCGGAGCAAGCACCGAGCAGAAGAGTGTGTAGCAGCTGACGGCAAAGCGAATTGTGAGGACACAAATCTAGCCGATCAGATATCCAGCTTCTTTTGTGGATTGGCTAGCTCCTTGGATAACTGGTTCATTATTTACAACTGATCACTTGACTGTGGTGTATTATGATTACGGGATTAAAAAGTGCAAAGATATATTTTTGGTTGAGATTTAATAACGTAAAAATGCTATCTGCCAAGTGGTAAGAATAAAATTTTCGCAATTCAAAAATTAAAACAGTTCACTTTCCAAGTTATTTTGCAAAAAGATGTAAAAATTAATCTCATTGAATGACCTCTCTAAGAATATGACCAAGTAGACAAATTTAAGTGATGTTTAGTGGCAGATAAAAATATAAAAAATTAACCCACTATTAGGAATTATTTAAATTTCTCCCATGAATCACAGTAATATGCCTGTTAAATAGCTCCGCTGTGAATTTGGAGCAAAAAATATTGCATAGTAACAAAGAGTACACGCCCAAAATTTGCAGCAAATTTAAAATGCATTTAGCCTGCATTCATGGACTTCAAAAATGTGAAGATATAAATTGCCTCGTCGCGAAAAGAATGTAGAGCAATGTTGGTAGGTAAATGCCTTCCTGTCTTGAAGTCTGGGACCGAAAAGTAATTACCTTAAACACCAAATATAATTTAGTTGGCAGCTAACGAAGGCTCAAATCTAGTAATTTTTACTATCGGCCACCTCCATTATCTAATCCTTTAAGATGCTGCGTCTCCTGAACTATTTATGGCAATGCTGATATACAACTAATTTTCATTTAAATTTGTTATATGTGGACTTGGTAATTTTAAGAGCTTTTTTAGGAATTTTGCAAAGGGTTTTTATAAAGCGCAGAAATGTGGTTTAATAAATCACATCGGTTGGTGAATAGTTTATTAAAATAAAGGCATTTGAATTATAGACTTAAATAAGGGCAGAAACAACAAACCCTGTCATTTTGATAAGATGATTTCTACATTCCTTAACTCCAAATGCTCTTCTTAAATAGTCGTTGTGCAATAAGACGTGCAAATTGATCGCAGGATGTCCTAAAGGTGTTGGTTTAGGGTGCTGTAACATGGAAATGCTTTCTCGCATAGTAAACACTGAAACCATTTTTTCCCTAAAAAAATAGTAGGACTAGTGAATCCAGGCAAAAAACTTCAACAAAATTTCATAAATTGCTGAAGAGAAGAGAACAGAGACATGCAAAGAGGGGTATCAATTCTTGGCTAAGGATATTGCTAAAATGCTGTCGGATTCTTTGTTTTGTGAACTAAATGCTGTTGCTAGCATGTTAAGACAGAGTAACATTGCAGTGCAAATAACAGCACAGATGTAGTACAGTGATCTAAACTTGCTCCTCATTGACGACCCCAGGCATCACATTTCTTGGGTAAAGGGTTTGAAATTACGCAATTTTTTATCTGAAATGCTGTGCAACACAAGCAAATGCCAACGACGCCCTACATCCATAATAATCTTTTGTCTGCAATGACGAACGGAATCTCCTCAATAACGGTATGTTACATTTGCAGCAGCTCACCAGATTTATGCCGGCTCATATGAAGTAAGCTCCTTGCTCCTACTACCGTCAACAACTACTTTAAAGTGACATGCGTGCTTTAACAATCTCAATTTTGGTTGCACAAATAGCACAGGTAGCAAAATCTACCAAATCTATTTTATAATACGTTCTAATTATAGAAGTTTGCTGCATTATAAACAATCACAATGTCAACTAATCCTAATGAGTATGCTCCATATGTTTTATTAGACGTGCGCGTTTGGAAGAACACTTTCCACATCTCCAGCATTAAAGTGGATTTTGATCTAGTAAACTGGATTTGCATTAATTAGTGAAAAGACAACCATGGTACCTGTAAAATAGCTAATGTTTAAATGGGCCAACGGGGAATTAAAAATGCTAAACTGTATTTTATACAGCAATATAGCGTCCCAAGACCCCTTGAAGACGGAAGAAGACACAATACTCGGGCAGAATATATATATTCAGCACGGAGAAGGTGTCTGGGCTAGTGGCATGGCCCAAAAGGCCAGCCCACCCAGCGAGGTACAAGAAGGCTAATTCAAAGTACAAAAGTGGCGCCTCACCAGAACCGAAGGATAAACCACTATCGTATTACATAGCCTCCCTCCTCTTTTAAGCGTCGTCCTCGGCGCTCCCACAGGTCAACCTCCCGCGTCAGCCATTACAACGTAGTCGGTGCAGTAAAGAAACACCAACGAGCCAACCGTGCCAGTCACCAAATTAGCGCGCAACTGAGGGGATACTTGACCTCAACGTCACTGATCCCTCTTGGCGGCTTGACTCGATCTGGGGTCTCGTCCGGTTTAGGGATTTGATTCAGGACGGGGAACTGCGCCGGCCATCATGCGTGTCCATAGATAGATGCAGGAACACTGGCCTAAAAGCAGATCTGAGTAAGGAAGTACAAGATTTAAAACAGGTCCATGGGGGACGGTAGGGGAAATCCGTAACGAAACTTCCAGATGGTTCACGGCTAGTGTCGCTTCAGTTGTTAATAGCTTTTCTGCAGAACACGGGACTGGGAGGGATGCCGAAGGTAGACGTCAACATCAACCCTTCTGTTAGGAGTCATCACCATTCTCCCATCCGCAGCATATGTACTTCTTCCGCTCCACTAAGACTTATCACGCAGAAGTGGAAAATCAGGATACATGTCCTTTAAGATCGGGTTTGCTTTTCGCTGCCACCAATGTAGCGTCCCGGGACTCCCTGAAGACGAAGGAAGACAAAGTACTCGGACAGAATATTTATTCAGCGCAGAGAAGGTGTCTGGGCTATTGGCATGGCCCAAAAGGCCAGCCCACCCAGCGAGGTACAAGGGGGCTAATTCGAAGTCCAAAAGTGGCGCCTCACCAGAACCAAAGGACAAACCACTATCGTATTACAGTAAAGGATATAAAAGCAAAAATATAAAAGAATACTAAACACTAGCATAAAAACGGTAAAAATACAAATTTCGCTGCTAAAGACCAACATAGTCTTGGAAGCAAATGCGGCGGAGCGAGAGCAGTCGTCACATTTCCAGGTCGCTCTATAAATATGAAGTCTAAGTAAATACACATCCAAGACAAGGCAAACGAAACTATTTAAAGCTCAGTCACTACCTAAAACAAATTTTCCTCAGCAAAATACACTTTAAGCGCTTAAAAACTTACGACATATTTTTACAAGTTTTTGCCCAGACCCCCTAATCCTCGTTTTACTTGATAGAGTTGCAAATATGAGTTCCCCTCAGTACTAGTTGATGCTGCTATTTTCTGCCCCATTGTTTCATTCGAAACCCTACGGCATACCACAACCAAATCTTGTAATATTCAGCAGTACTTTACAAGCATAGTTTTTTTATTTTATGATAAACGTTGAAGAGATTAAGTTAAAAATGCCTATATAGCCCTCATATTAAATATCTATGGCCGCGTCATTAGTTAGGCAGTTAATAAAATCACAATCACAATTTAGTACCGAGACCATGCAAATCGCATGAACTCGTCATCTAAATTTGCAAGAAGCTAACCTTTGACATGACACGACAAGCGTATTAAAGGGTGGCAACTTTATTGGTGCTAGCTAGAGGCACTAAACGACAAAAGTGCCGTTAAAATGTTCGGGATCAAAAGAACAAGACGATTTATAAAGGCCGTTTCCTACATTATCCAAACAAACAATTCAATATGCCAATTCTGATTAGAGACCGATAAAACTGATGAAATTTGAACTGCATACATTGGTCAGTTTATCAGTTACCTTCGTTGAGAGCCATGCTATCTCATAAACATGTTTGCAACTCATATTACCGTTATATGACTTGGACACGACTCACAAAATGATGATCAAAAGTACACAAAATCAATTTTGAAGCACCCTTGTGCTCCAGCATGTCAATGCCAGCCGCAAATGGAAGAAGGGAGTGTCGGTGTCAACACAACAAAGCGAATTCAAATTGGCAACACTTTTATGCATGTCTACTTTTTCCTTTTCAAGCACTTTGTCCCGTTTCGCAGATTGTCATTATGCTGCATATCTACACTGTAAGCTCGTTGCAGGTTGGTATGGTCACTGGGAGACACAGACGTGTGCGACAGGACCGTAAATGCGCAAACGGCCTTAGACGAAGCATGACTTTTTGGGTAGGTAAAAAGAGAAAATAAATATTCCATGGTCATAAAATTAGCAGGTACTTCTTAACCATGCTATATTTCTTTTAATGCGTTCGGATAAATTTAACATTACATGAGAAATCTTTTTTTTTAACTTCGAACTAATTATTTTGTGCATCCTTCGTTATGTCCTCCCATATTCAAGTTTACTTTGGGGTTGCTGAACTTATCACTTCTACTTCTAATGTATCTAAACATGCTGCTCACTTCTACGTAAGAAGATGATATTTTGTAACTGGCAAAATAGTATAAATGGCTTTACTGTTGCTTACATTTTGGATACAGCTGCAAAACCAGACAGGAGTTTAATTTTCTAAAAAGGATCAGCAAGCGTATATAGGCACCAAAAAAGTAAACGATTAAAACTGGCAGATAAATGGATTCTAATTTTGAGTATTTTCACGATGAAGTTTTTCACAAAGTCTAAATGCAAGGCTCTCTAAGTGGCACTGATTTTAGTGTAGGTGTAGTCTTGTCAACTTCATCTGCTTACTCAAACTAGGACAAAGGCTGTCAAGTAAAAGACAAAATCATAGTTTCTTTACTGTCTTTCAGAAGCATGGACGTACAAAATGGCAGCATTATCCATGGGGAACGTTCTAGTCAAACTGAAGAGAAGGATGAATTCGAAGCTACAGAAAGGCTAATGCAAGTTATGGATCAAGCTCTTCTAGCAACTATTCGTCAGGAAGAACCGAAATAGGTAATTGTTTTGGCTCTTATGCCTCTGAAGAATATACATGCATCGAACGGATAGGGCAATAGTTCGTCCATCGAGGAACCGCATTTGTAAAGATTCCTTGTAAATTGACCAACAGGGCCACCAAAAAGGAAATCTTTTTCATGGGGAGCTTTACGTTTATTCTTTCCTGTGCTACGGTGACTTGTAGTCCACCTGATCGTTAGTATTATCAAAATCCGAAGAACGAGCCCATTGTTGTAGAAGGGAAGATAAGAGCAAAAAATGTTACTTAAAAAGTAAATGGTTTGAATTGCAGTATTTCACAAGTTTTCTGCAAACATGTTATGGAGGGGAGCTCGCGCCACTGATGCTGATGGCCTGCATTCGGCCAAAACCACGTGGCATCATTAAGGGTAAATCAATTCCAAGCTTAGCCAACGAGTGATGTCTACTGTGATCAGGTTCTGTTTAAGCATGGTAGCTTATGAAAGAGAAGGTGAATTTGTTTTCGATAAAGAGGCCTTGAAATACCCGGTCGTACTCCTTCCTTCATATTCTTGTTGAATTATTCTTTATCGTCGACTTCATCGAAAAGCTCTTCCAACTGGCTGCAGTGGAACCTAATCAGACAAATATGCAATAAAGGCAAACTTCTGCTTTTGTTTTACGAGACGTTCTCAA